GCACGCGTATAAGCGGTGAGTAACACGTGTGAGTATTGACACAAAATTCCCCTCCCGCAACTTCCTTTCTCCGGCCCGCCCCCCCCCTCCCCCTCCCTCCGCCCCTTCCCCCCTTCCCCCTCCCTCCCCACCTTGGCTGCCCCTGTGAAGTCCCTCAGCCAGAACTTAGGCGGCTTCACGTCGCAGCAGCACAGCCCCCAGGCCACGTGCGCCAACCCCTGGTTGCCCAGGGAGGGGAGGCGGACCTGGGGATGGAGGGGAGGGAGGAGGCGGGGGGGGGCGGGCCGGAGAAAGGAAGTTGCGGGAGGGGAATTTTGTGTCAATACTCACACGTGTTACTCACCGCTTATACCCCTGCTCTCCACTCTATGCTCCTTATCTCCCCAAACCCCCAAACCCCGTGACACCCCTTTCCCTCCCTTCGCAACGCCAGATAGCTGCCTTCTTTCCCCCCTTCCCCCCTCCTTTCCCTCCCCCCCCCGCCCACCTGGACCTCCATCATGAGGCGGTTCGTGAAGCTGCCGGGGGGCCGGGGCCCGCCCTCCACCGCCAGAACACCGACAGCCCAGCATACCATGGCCAGCTCGCGCTCCGTAACCCGCTCGCCGCAGCCTGAGAACATCACCACCACCGCCACCACCACACAGCAGAAGCAGGAGTAAAGAGGAATGACAGTAGCAGCGGTAGCACCATACACACACACACAGGCGCACGTGAAGCTTTACAACCGTGAGCTTAGGGTCCCCCCCTCCTTGCCCCCTCACTCCGCCCCCCCCCACACCCCTTTCCCACCCCGGCCCTCCACCACCTCACTCACCCTCAAACGCCTGGTAGTACTCTTCGAGCCAGGCTGCCGGAACCCTAATCAGGCAGCGGGGGCCGGATAGGCGTCGTAAGGGCGCAGCAGCAACAGGAGGAGGAGGAAGGGGCGGGGCGGGGTGGGGGGTTGCGGGTGCATGCGGGGCGATACAACGTTACAGACCGTTATGTTGCAAACATTTCCTGAAAGAGCGAGAGAGAGAGAGAGGAACAGCCGCCCGTCACCGTGCCCTCCTCCCCCCCCTATCTCTCCCTCTTCCTTCCCCATCCCTTACGCATACACGTACACACATACACACCCCACGGGCCCCCTGGTGCCGTACTTTGCCTTCCACTTGGCCAGGGCCCAGATGAGGAAGCCCAGGTCTATGGGGCGCCAGCGGGCGAGCTGGTTCCCGCTGGTGGCCTGAGGAAAACGGGGGGGGGCGGGCGGGAAAGGGGGGGGGTACGGGAGGGGGGGAAACCCACCATGCAGAGATCAACGCGGTGCCGGGTGGGTGGGTGGGTGGGTGGGTGCGGGGAGGGGAGGGGAAACAGCCGGGGTGGGTGGGGGTACTTCCGATGGCTGCGTGATACTGCGCGGATGATAATGGAGTTGGGTTTGCGGTGTTCGCGGGTGGGCTGAAAGAAAGCCAATACGAACCTCGACACAGTGTGTATGTGTGTGCTTTGGAAACCCTCACCCCCAGCTGTGAGAGTAGAGCACCTGAAGGTGATGCAAGGAAAAAGCCTCCTAACCCACGTGGCCTCACGCACCGCGCCCCCAAAGTCTAAACCCCCGACCTTTCCCCCCATCTTTCAACTCCCCTCCTCGCCCTCACCACCCGCCGCCCTCCTGGCATCCTTCCCCGCCTAAAGCCCCTCTCCCTCTCCCTCTCCCAGACACCCGCGGAAACAACCCACACGCTTCTTTCTTCCAGCTCCCGCCCCACCCCCCGCCCCACCCCCCGTGCTTCAGATCTCCCCACCTACTGCTCCTCTCCCGTCTCCCCGCCCTTGATGCATATGACTTCCCCCACCACCCCGACATGCTGACATACAGACACACTCCCCCCCATCCCCTCTTAAACCTAGAGCTAGAGGGTATCTATGCACCTCACCTCTACCAGGGTGTCCAGCCAGCCCTTCCCCGGGTAGTACCGCAAGCGGGCGAATGAGGAGGCGGCCAGAGCCACCTCCCCGCTGCTGTACTGCTCCAAGCTGTTGAGACTGCGTGGGTGTGTATGTATGTGTGTATATTGTTGGTTGGGGGGAGGAAAACGGAAGAGAGGGGATTGGGGAAGAATGGGGGTGATGGGGGTGCAGAGTTGGGGAAGTGGGGCGGGGGTAAATGGGGGGAAAGGGGAGTGCGGGTGCAAAGACACGTGTGTATGTGTATGTGTATTTGTTTGTGATGTGTGTGTATGTTGCATCAGTACCAACACCAACACGCCCCCTAACCCACTAACGGGCTACCTCCTAGCTGCACCTCCCGCAACCACCCTCAACCACCATGTACCCGCCCAACCCCCATATCCTATGCACACACAAGACACACAGATACACACACACACGTGCAGTTCCCCCGCTCCTCCCCCGTACCTGTCTTCCGCCAGCAGCCCGAGGTGTTGCTCCGCCCCCCGGTGCCGCCCCCCCGCCACCACCATCAGCGACAGCAGCAGACACACCTTGGGGGGCCCCAGCCGCTCCGCCCACAGCACCACTGCACACGACTCGGACAGCAACCGGGACAGCTGCGACCGCCGCGTGTGTGGGGGAGAGGGACGGGGGGGAAGGGAGGGGGGGAAAGGGGTCAAACACGGCACGGCAACAAGGGGACATCAGAAGACTTTCAAGCGCAACAATAACAACAACAGCAGCAGCAGCAGCAGAGAAAAAACGAAACCTAGGAAGACGGGTCCGTCCCCCGCCCCTAACCTAACACGTCAACCGAAGTCATAAGGCGGCCTTCCCAACCCAAACAACCCCCCCCGCCACCAGCATCACAAGTTCGACCAACCAATGCTGATCGGCGCGTCCTGAAAAACCCTAAGGCCCCTAAGGCCCCGCCCCAGCACACACTGAACACCCGGGGAAGACTCACGAATGCGCGGACAAACCAGTACGAGAAATACACAACACAACACAGCACCCACCCTACCCACCCCACCTGCGCGCGCATCTCCCGGGCCTCTCGCAACCTTGCCGTACGATACCCCGCTGGGATCCGTGCCCGCCAGCCCGCCACCAGCTCCCCCGCGGCCGCCAGGAACATCCAGACGGTGGCGGCGGGGAGACCGGCGGCGGCGCCCGCCGCCAGACCAGCTGCCGCCGCCGCTGCACCTGCTTCACTGGCGTTGCGACGAGCCGCCGCTGATGCCTCGCGCTGCGCGGTGTCGTACAGCGCCAAGAGCTCCTCCACCGACCTGCGACCGACCGCAGTCGTAGATAGCAGCAAAGATAATTTGATTTGGAAGGCGAGGCTAGTCCTAGTCCTAGTCCTAGTCCCGCCAGCGGGGTCCCCAACGGGTGCTAGTGAGATCACGGAGCTAATGGATTGGGGGGAGCCACGTGCAGGGAAGTGGGAAGTGAACTGCCGGTGTGTCCAAGGTAACGGATTTGAGGGGGGTGTTGTTGTTGTTGTTGTGGGGAGTTGATTACGCCCTGTGGTGCGGTCGACAATGCCCCCGGGGCCATGGCATATCGAAGAGCAACTAGGGCTTAGCACGCTACTCGGCGCCATGCAAGAGCTAATAAGCAAGTGGCAGACAACCGATAAGCAAGTGATAGCCGTCCCCACCCACCCCCTCTCCTGCTACCCTTCCTAACCTGCAAGCCCGGATGCGGTCCGGCAGCGATTTGCCGCCCCCACCAGCGCCAGCCTTGTGGGCCGAGGCACCCGGGGGCCGCCCGCCGCCGCCTGGCGCCACCTTCCCGCCACCGCCCCTGACGGCGCGCTGGGCCATGATGGCACCGCCACCGCCACCTCCGCCTTCGCTAGGTGTGCCCATGCCACCTCCGATAGCCCCCGGGAGCTCGCTGTCGTCACGGCCGCCCTCAATGCGGTCGCTGTCCACGTCGCCAGCGGCGGCTAGGAGCTGGGCGGGTGCCTCTCCAAATGCCGTGACGGCGGCAGTGGGGTTAGCGGCCCCAACGTCGACATTTCCGACGCTAGTTGGCGACTTTGACTTCTTGGACTTTGCCTTGCCCGGCGCACTTTCCGATCTGCGGTCACTGCTACTACCGGTGCCGTTGCTAACAGTTGTGCTACTGCTACTGGTACTGCTCGCACCAGCCAGGCCTTCTACGGCACCGGTGCTGCCTTGCGACGGCTGCTCGTAGACGCAGCTGCCGCTTCCACGGTGGTCACCGTTATCGCTGCCGCCAGCCCGGCGGCCACCGCCGCCGCTCCCCTGGCGCTTGCGGCGCACCCCACCACCGCCACCACCGCTGCCACATACCCCCTCTCCGCCACTGATCCTGGTGCTGGTACTGTTATTGCTTATTACCCTGTGTTCGTTTGGGGGCTGCTGCTTGTCTGGGGTATAAGAAGTTGCCCCTGCGGCACCTGCTTGTGTTGTTGTTGTTGCTGCTGCTGTTGCTGCGTCTTGAGCATGGAGCGCCCCTTGCGCGGCTGCTGGTGAGACTGCCAAGCTGGCAGGCATAGCCAGGCGTGATGGGGGAGATCGTGGGACGAGAGGAGGTGATGTTTTCGCAGGTCGGGCCCACGGGATTGATCCTGGGGTGGCGGTTGCAGCTGGGCAAAGCTGGGGAGCGGGGGCGGATCCGCGGGAAAGCACCCGCCAGGGCGTCGCAACCGGGTGTGTGCCAACGGTGACGCGGGAGGTGGCCCGTGCAAGGGCTGCGGGGCAGTAAATACGGGTGCGCCAGCTCCGCCGCGGAAGCGCCTGTTGAGGGCAAGCGCCTGCCCCGTCGCATTTTGACATCCGGCCGCGCTGGACAGAGTCCGACAGAATCTCTGTTTGAATTTCGTAATGGTTGTTAAGCACTCAGACGATGTCAACTGTGTCTTGGGATACAGGGCATAATTCGCTCAAGATTGTTGGCGGCTTATGGCTGCATTAGTCTTAACACGCTAGCGGTACATAACCAGATTTCCTTTCCCGCAAGGTTACAAAAAAAGAGATGGCTGCATTTCTTTCTCATCTCCTTAATCCCACAACGCTGGATGAGTCAGCCAGCCAAAGCTCAAACCCCTAAAGCTAAATACCGCAACCTAGATAAATACAAAACGCCCTATGGCATGTACCATATGGCACGAACGTCAGGAAATGGAGGAACTCGGGTACGACAGTGCCAACGAAAACTTTTGGACCACACGACTAGATCTTTTGCACTTATCGTAGTGTACACGGTGGAATTGGCTTTGCAAAGGTACACGCACTGAGAAAGAATTGTTCATCTACCAGTAAACCGGCCACAGCCGCACATTCCTTGCACGGTTCCGCAAGGGAAATAGTTGAGCTTTTGTTGCAGACTTTCTATTATTCTCCTGTGTAACACCTAGGGACACATCTTTGCGAACTTCGTCTCTTCAGGCAAGGAGATATGCAGGTCTTATCCCGGGGCGGCAGGGCCGCTGCACCTGCCGGCGCCAGCCGACCTGTTTGCCCACATACCACTCCAACGAGCACCTTTAAGAAAGATGTGTTGCTCTTCCTCCAAGACGTGAGGCGCCAGGTGCGTTGCGATGCAAGGGTTCAACGATGCTTAAAGGCCATCGCTTTCGCACGGTCGTACGCTTGATGCAAATGGAAGGGTGCCCTTTAAATGCTTGCTGGGGAAGATCTGGTAGCGTGCACCTCTGGGAAACCTTTTGATGTCCTGCTTGCTGTTGAAACCTATTTGGACCGAAATCATGTTGCGCTTATGGAGGGGTTAAAGGACGATTTAGGGGTCTAGCTTACGGCATCTGGGTTTTCACAATTTTGGGATACCGACGTGACGGTCTCTGCTTCCGTGTGGTTCAACGGCGCTGTGGTCAAGTCGCGGCGCCTTCCGTTTGCAGCCCGCGCTTGTTCATGTATGCGCGACAAGCATCAAAGCATTAACAACTAAATTTACCGGCGTTTGTTGCCGCCTCGATGGTGGCAGCGTCAAGGCGCTTTAGCTTGTTTGTGGCGGACACCCCCAAACCCCTGTCAAGAAAGCCGCGGAGCTGAAATCCTGCAAAGCAATGCGGTGGCCTTAGCCTGCTATAATTTCCACGCCACTGCAGCTATTACCAGCGTATACCGACCCCAATCTCTTTCAAGCGACTGCATTCTACATGCTGCCATACAAACTTTCGCACTAGAGGCTCAGCTCCCCTAGGCTCCGGGTCAAGAGCGTCGACCCAGATCTCCAACCTTCCCCTTTCCCCTCACGCTCCGGTCCCGCTTGCATCACCAGTCTCAACCTCCTGCTCTTAATCCCTCTCTCCGCGCACATTACCCACCTATCCACCACCTACGTTCAAATGCTGACATCTCTTCGTCACCTACCCCCCGTTGCTGACCGCTTCCGGTCTCCCCCCATTTCAACTTTGTGAACACGTCGAAACACACACGCGTACCCGCACGTACACAGCATGTCGTGGCGGCTGCTTCGCGCCGTAAGGGCTATCAGGATCAGGACGCTAAGGACTCTCTAGACGTGGATTCCATGGACGAGGCTGACGGCAAGCTGACCAAGTACGTGGACCTCCTCAGCAAGAAAGGCGGCGCAGCGGCGGCAGGAGGGGCCGGCCGCAGCAGCAGCAACAACAACAACAACAACAGCAACAACGGCGGTAGCAACAGCAGCCAGCAGGTAAAGCCCTCACCTTTTTTCGCGTGTTTTGGGAAGTTGAGCTTTGTGGGGTGTGCTGGAGCGCGCGTCGTGGGTGAGCTGAAGCATGGAGCGAACTGTGCATGTTAATGGTTGCTGGCGAAGAGGATTTTGCTGTGAGCATGCGGACTTGGGGCTTACTGTATGTGTTTCCTTGCTTGCCAGTGAAATAGAGGCGTGGGGCTGTGGGGGCTTTTTGGCCCATGGCAATTATACAACTGGGCTGTGGGTGGGGTGGTGTCGCCGTTGAAGATGTATTTGGGGCGTTGGTAGTGTCGCGAAGGGCGGGGCCTTCTGGCTCTTTTCCCTGGTGCGGTTGTCTTGTTACAAGCAGCGGCCGATTCCGAGGAAGCTGGAGGTGGCGACAGCTGCTCCTTTGTTGCTGGCATATGTGTTGGGAAGCTCGTCAGGAAGCAGAATTCTGCCCCTGACGAGGTGTGCTGCGCTATGATGATAGGCTGCGAGGACGGAAGGTAAAGTGGGTGTTTGTAGTGGCAAAAAGGTTGGGTGTGGGTCGCTACTGAATCTTCCGTATCTCCCCATATCTCTCCCCAGGCAAACCCACATCGTTTTCCTCCTCCTCCCCCGCAGGGTGTGGCGGCCAAGACCAAGGCCAGCACCCAGCAAGCCCCGCCCCCCCCCGCCCGCAGCACACCCTCCTTCAGCGGCTTTCAAGACGACTTCGGGTTCGATGACAACTGGGGAACTACACCCCTGCCGCCCAGCCGTGGAGGCGGCGGCGGCGGTGGATATGGTGCTGGCGGCGGCTACATGAACGGCGGTGGCGGCGGTGGTGGTGGCTACGGCGGCTACATGAACGGCGGTGGCGGCAATGGTGGCGGCGGCGGCGGCTACATGACTGACCCCGGCTACGGGGGTGGCTATGGGGGGGGTTACGGTGGAGGGTATGGCGGCGGCGGATACAGTACGGGGTACGGCAATAGCGGTGGGTACATCAACACGGGATACAGCAGCGGGTACGGCAATAACCGGAACAACCGCAGCCGTGGCGGCGGCAATATGCGGCTCATTCACGCGGATGGCTTCGACGGTCCTGATGAGACCGGTGAGTGCGTCAGTGCGTGCAGCACAGCCCCCGGCCTGGGGGGAAAGCTGGGTGGAAGGGAAGGGGGGGTGCGGTGGCGGCGGAAGAGAGGATAAGGGCAGGGGATTGACGGCAGTGCGAGAGGGGAACCAACGGGTAAGATGCAGGAAAAGGGAAACAGCGGCAAAAAGGGGGGGGAAGATGGCGGGAGGTACAGGTGCTTGCTCTGGTGTTTGTGTGAAAGAAGGCCCCTCAGCTTGGTTTTGCCGTGTCCCTCGGGTTGTCGGGAGGAGAATGGGGATGTTTTTGCATGCCTGCTTGCTTGGCTCCACTTCCGCACTCAAACCAATCACACGCGATTCCTTCCACGGCATACGCATGCATGCATACATGCATACATACATACATAGCTACATACATACAAACATACATACATACGGGTCCCTTCCCGCACACACATATCTTTTCGTCCTGCAGACGGTGAGATGCCGGTGGTCAAGGTGGCCTCCTGCGTCATCAACGGAAGGACCATGCAGTGTAACCACGGCATTACGTAAGAGACAGGGAGCCGGAGGAGGGAGGACGAGAGGGGGCTGCCAGGAGAAGGGAGGGGGGAAAGGGCGGGGGGGGGGGAGTGCAGAAAGTGTGTTTTCAGTTGCCACCCTAAAACCCCAATCCAATTGTTCGCAAACCGGCGGGGGGAGTTATCCGGCGGGGGTGAAGTTATCACATGTCGTCCACGTGTGTAAGACTATACAACCTTTCCGCCGGATTTTTTTCGCTCACCCCCCGGGTCAGGGGGTCAGGAGCCGCCTCCCCCTCCTCTCTACCTAGACCTGTTGCATGACGGTAATTTCACCCATCAGCACCTCTTTCTCTCCCCCCCCTGCTGTGGGTCCGCTCTTGTCTGCTTCTCCAAGGCCCCCCTAACCCCCTACCCCTTACCTCCCTAGGTATGGGCAGCTGCGTGCGGTCACCGCTTGGCACACCTCATCGCCAGCTGGTGCTTTAACTCTTTTTTGAGTAAACACCATTCCAACCAATAGTAATAGTAGTAGTCTTCCCGCGCCGTGATTTAGTCCCCTTCGCCACGCATGCCTCGGTCCACGGCCAGCACACTAACACCGGTCCCGTAATCCCCGGTCTGCCTCATGTCGCCGCCTTGTGGTGGTGGTGGTGGTGGTGGTGGTGCCTCGTGTTGCTGCTGCAGGGCTCGGGAGGTGTTTGTGTTGGGGGCGGGGCCCGAACGAACCCCCCTAGGGGTGATGCCCACCAGCCGGGCTCAGGTGAGGAGGAGGAAGACAGGGGTGGTGGTGGTGGTGGTCGTTGTAGTGGGGGATTATGGGGGGGAAAATGGGGGGCAGCAGCAGGAGCTTAGCTCCAATTACAATATCCTGTACATTATTACCACCACCACAGCCACAATCGCAACCAGAACCGCCGCCACTGCTACACCCTCATCAGGCTTCCTGCCATGCAAGACGACGGCCCCTTCTGTTTCCTGCTGCTCTCATAAAATAGTTTCTTCCATCTCCCCTACCAGTTTTTGCACGTAATTTTCCCTACCCTTCCTTTCCCCCCTGCAGGCCCTAGCCGACGAAGCTAAGGAGGACCTCCTGCTCATCAACCCGGACGCCTCCCCGCCACTCGTGCGTATTATTGGGTGGTCCAAGTACAAGTACGAGCTGGAAAAGAACGCCAAGGAGAAAAAGGCCAAGAGCTCCGCGTAAGAGGGGGTGGAGGGCGTGGAGGCGGAGGGAAAGGGGCGGCGAAAAGAAGGGAGGGCGTAGTTTGGCCGGGAAGTGGTGGACTGGACTGGGAATGCGTTGGGCCACGGAGCAGGCTGGTGCGTTGATTGGTACCAACCCCTTCTTCCCTCCCAGCATTTACCACCCTACTCCTGCGGCTCGAAGGTCCTATTAGGATTGATCTTCACTTGCAACAGCCTTTTCGTCGTTGGCCTTTGACCTCTTCCGGATTGCTGCATGCCAACATCAGCAGTCGGTTGTGTTTTTTCGATCGCATGTAAGCTTTCCCCCTCCTCCTCCCCGACCCCTCCGCCTGGTAATATCGCCGTACTGGTGGTAATTATGCAGTACGGAGACCAAGGAGGTGCGGCTGAGGCCCTCCACGGACTCGGGGGACCTTGCCGTCAAGATGAAAAACTGCATGAAGTTCCTGTCCAAGGTGCGGAACTACCTTTTCCGGCGCATCAGAGTGCAGTGAAAGTTGTTGTTGTTGGGGGAGCCCCATCATGGCAGTCTCGGCTATCACCTCGGTGCCTTCTGATACCCCAACCTCCCCCTCCCCCTCCCATAGCATGGGTACGGGCAGCTATGTCGTTGGTTTGGATTCCGGCAGCTGGTGCTTTGGTGGAGCTTTTTTGCATTATTATTGACAAGTTATTTACCCCTCCCCATCTCCACCCCATCCCTCAGCGCCTTGCCTAGTGCCGCTACCACCGCTGCCCCCGGAAACACCCCTTGTGGGGGGAAACGAGACGTTTCCCGTCTCCGGTCGCTTGATAGCTTCCCTACGTGAGCTCCCCTTTTCCCTGCGCATACACATACATATATTATTAAAGATATACACACGGCCATCATCTAATTTGATGAGGTTGCTCGCGGGCCATCCTACTCTCGTCTCAGTTCATTTAGTGCATAGCACATACATACACATGCACATACATACACACACGCGCGCGCCCCGCTCTTTCTTCCCATCCCAGGGCGACCGTGTTAAGCTGGTGATGAAGTTCGAGGGTCGTGAGCTTCAGTTCAAGGAGCAGGGCAAGGAAGTTCTGCTGGTGAGTTAGTCAGGGGCGGGAAAGGGGTAAAAGTTAGGGTTGGACCGGAGAGGAGGGTCTTGCGGAAGTGGCCCGGGCATGTAAAGGGGCCATAGCAAGCTCCTGGCGCTTTTGCGCGGTCCCTGGATTTTGCTTTCTGATACGTGCCTAAATCGGTGGCGTTACATGCCCCGCATATTTTTTGCGATATACGTGTGTGTGTGTGTTACATGGTCTTGAGGTCCGATCCCCGTACCTGCAAACCGGCCAATACGACCCGAGGCCTGAAGGGCTGGCAGATCGCCTACAAGCACCGTCCTACCTCGCACTTCAGACAAAGCAAGTATACATGTGCGCTTGACTCCTGTTTCCCATACCACCCCGCCCCGCACACATCCTTTCCCTCCGCCACGAACCAAACTGCATCGGACCGGATACACACACGCGTCGTACATCAGAACTTCATCTCCGAGCTGGCGTCCGTGGCCAAGGTGGAGGGTCCCCTCAACTTCAAGACCGGTACCTACACCATTATGCTGTCTCCCAACAAGTAAACTGTCTATGTGTGGATGTTCTTAAGTGTTTGCTTATTTTTCTTGACGTAGCAGCAGCAGCAGCCGCTTGCACAACGCGCCAAGAAGGAGCGGTTTAGGCCAAAAGGCCTAATAGGCTAGGTGAATGTAGATAACGGTCTGTGCGCATGGGTGGCTTGCTTTGGCGGCTGAGGGATGGGGGAAAGGAGGAGAAAAGAGAGGCGCTGGGGTGTCTGGCGCTGGAGGTGTTGATCCTACTAGTGTAAGTAATGGTGGTAACAGCAGCTATGTTTCGGAGTGTCGTGTGGCCGACTGATCGGCTAACTGATGTCCCAAGCGACGAATTTCTGGTGTGATGGGTCGGTAATCGGAGGGGGAGGAAGAGCAGGCGCAGAGTTGAGCCGGCAACAGAGATATTCCAGGAGTGTGTGTGTGTGTGTGTGTGTGTCGGCATATGAAGATGGTTGATTAGGTGCGTTGAGAAGGGTAGCTGGTATATGGGGATCGCTGCGAGAATGTTGTTATCTCGAGGGGAGAGTACAACTGCAGAAAGTTTGGGTAGGGTAATGAGAAGATGTGTCAGTGTGTGAGAGACATGCCGCCGCATAAGGAAATAGCGAGGTTGCTTCACCGCTTGCTTGCTTTGGCCGCACTCGTCTGCATTATCAGAAAGAGGGGTGTAATAGTGTTAGATGCGAAATGGGGGTCGGTCACGGGAATGCGGACAGCAGGGTGGTTACCACTGGAAGACGTGGATTGTCGATTACCCAGGAATACCTAAGAATGTGGAAATCCACCCTTATTGCATCCCTCTGGCTGAGAACTTGGTTTGCGGTTGTCCACGCCGTTTACTTGGATGCATATATGTTTTGGATTAGGGACCGCGTGTATGGGGAGCGGGGAATGCGAAATGCAGCTGAGAGATGGATGTGGGGCAGATGTTTGGTGGCTTAGCTCAAGAGTATGTGTGGTGTATCTGAGAGACGATAGTATTGTTATCCTGATCCGGTGCTTATGCTATAAAGAATACAGGTGGTGCTCTGTTTTTTCCCTGACACGGTGTTATATTCCAATGTTGCAGAATGGGTGGTTCAGGGAGTGCAATATCGACGGGTCATATAACGATGCGTCATGTATATCACGGCGCACTGCAGCCTGGGAAGAAGCAAAAAAGCGGCCCTTTCACCAGTCCGCACGAAGGCTCGGAGGTGTGGTGAGAGAAGCAAGGTCGCCGACGATGCGGAGGAAGGTGCGCTTGGTGTAGGCATGCGGTAGATATGGAAAGGGGCAGCTGATGGTCTGAGCAGCTCGTTGGGTGCAGTGATTGAATAGCGAGAGGTTGACAGGAGGTGACGAAACAGGTGGAACATTCGTGGATTGCTGGTGCTGACGAGCGACGGCTTAATTAAGGTATAATAGGATATGAAATGAGCTCTAGGAAGTTGTTGGAACGCATGGGTTCTGCTTCGGTGTGGGTCCAAGTCTATCAGCCTGTCACTCTACCTCCAGGTCAATCTGGTCCACTACTGTACACCTCTTCAAGTTTTATATCGCATACCTTGTAACGTACGATGACGTGTTACCGCAGAAGGTCCATTGAACAAGACGGCATTTCCAGGGCAAACCCTAAAAAAACATCTAGGGCAGGAGGCTTACTTGCATGTGCCAAGTGTCGTGCGGGAGTTACGCTGACAACTCCGTGTGCCTGGATTTCCAGGAAAGGCCATGTGCGCTATCTACCGCATGCCAGCCTCGTCGAAGGGCGGGCCCCCCTCCCTGCCGAGACATTACAGGCCATTGAAGCGGGTGCAGACCTGTGTGTGTGTGTGTGTGTGTGTGTCAACAACTGCTATACACGGCAACTAATGTCGGCCAGCATACATCAAGATGCTGGCGTTCATGCTGCCCCAAGTAGAAGGAGGTCCAGCAGAAGGAGGTTAGCAGGGATGGTGAATGATATACGCACATGACCAAGTGGGGGCCCCTAGTTTGCCCGCGAGGATCTCTCGATTAAACGTAGATATAACATAATAGAAATATAATATGTTTGTATTATGGAGTTGCGACTTGATCCGCATCATAAAAATGATTACCTTTTTCCTTTTTTGGGACTGGATTGGGCAGACTGGTCGTACCAGTGGAGCTAGGCGAGCAGCTCTCAGAAGGCGGCCGCTGCCGCTGCAACCACCGTACCCACCCCCGCAGGATGTCCCCCTCCGTCCCCTACGAATCTAGCCCTAGCTAGCTCAAGATCCACCCAGACATAGCACAGCTGCAGCTAAACTATGAATATGGCACTACCTGCTACCCCATGTCGCTCTCATGCTGCACAGCTGTCAGGTCAGGTCGGAAGGTTGGGAGGGGACCAGCAGTGATGCCAGATGTGTGTGCCCCGCGGCCTCTGCCAGCTGCCGAGGGGTAAGGCCTTGAAAGTTCCGGAGACAGGCGACAGAGGCAGTGGTGGTATCGGCCTTGGGTACGGTATCTTTGATGGCTGTGGTAGTGGTGGTGGCTGTGGTGGTGGCAAAGGCGACGACCGGCACCTCCAGCAGCACTTGAACTGCAGCCGTGTTACCCCTGAAATCCAAGTATGGCGGGTTTTGGACGGGGTGGCGAGGTGTTTGCTAAGTTAGGCGCGTGGTTACAGGGTGGCCTGCATGGGCGACATAAGCAAACCTGGATATTAATGCACGCCGTACCCAAGTTTCCAATTACGCTCTCCCACAATATCACACAGATACCTCAACCAACGGGGGATGAGGGCGACTTCATGTTTGCCGATGGGCTGCTGACACTCGACCCTATCGGGGTCCACAGAAACAATCGCAAACCGCTAGCAGGGCTGGTGTAGTTTTTCGCTGCTATCAGCGGCTTCCACTGCTGGTCGCGGAGCGTCGCAGCCCGAATCGGGGCTGTGGAAAGGGCCATGATTGGCCAGGGCTGTTGACGCTGTCCCGGTGCTTGGTCGGCTGCAACCTCGAGGAGTAACTTTACCAACCAGTCGCGACGTGTGAAGGAGAAGTCTTCGCGGTGATGTAGTCATGAAGATAGCGGAGAAAAACTACCTACCTAGCCGCCGAGGGAGGAGGGGGCCGGGCTGCACGTCCGGGCCTGTGTTGCCACCGTTGGCATTGTCCCATAGCTGAGCCGGTGTGTGTTTGTGTGTTGCCGCCCGTCTGGCTACTGCCATCAGGGGGGCTTGAATGGTCATTACCTCTGTCCCAGCCGGGCAGGAGGTGGCGATGGTGGGGGGGAACGGATGTTCCCCTTACCTTCGGGGAAGACAGGCTAGATGCAGCTGCGGGAGAGAAGGCAACGCAATCCATATCCCGGAAGTTCCGCAGAGGTTCAGACAGCACCCCCACGATGGAGGGGAACACTTTTCCACGTAAACCCCCAGCCCGGGAAGCAGTGCGCACTGCGGTTAAGATAGCCCTTCCTTCCCACCAAGCCATTCCTTTCCAACTCCGGGCAACATGTGTGCGTGCGTATATGATGCGCGCGTACACGTACGTGTTTGTGTGTACTGTGTATGGGTATTCATGTCGGTGTGTTGGCCCCACCTGGCCGCCGCCACGTGAAGTGGAGTGTTGCCGGACGAGTCCACCGCCCGGGGATCCGCTCCTGCAGCCAGCAGCAACCGCACCGCCTCCACTACGGCCTCGTCCGCCTTTCCCAGTGGCCCCCCCTGCCCTCCGGACCCCGCCCCTGCTGCCGCTGCTGCGAGATGCAGGGGTGTCACACACTGCGCATTGGCCGCCGAGTTGACGAAAGCAAGAAGCGAGGATTTCATTAATGTAGTGGCCACCGGTGCCTCGGCAGATACCGCTGCTGTCTCCGCTGCTGCTGCTGCTGATGTTGTTGTTGTTGTTGTCTCTGCCGTTGCTGCGCCCGCTGCTGCTGCTGCTGCCGGTTGTGGAGTTGAAGTCCGTGTTTGCAAGGCAGCCAGCAGCACACGCAGCAGCGGCAGCCCCGGGGCCCCCGCTTGGGCAGCTGTGTGCAGGGGAGTGAGGCCGCGTCCATCCGGAGCGGTCGGGTCGGCCTAGCATGTGGGCATGTACGCATGTGTGGGTAGGCCCCGATGGGTCCCGAGGGGACAGAGAATGAAAGAGCCAGGGGAGAAAAGCAGGGGTGTTTATAAAAAGGTGCCCGTTCTAGAAAAGCTATGAAAGCACCTTAAAAAGCAAACGGATAGATATTGGTTGCGGGGATAAATCCAGGCAGTTGACCCGTGGGTCACTCGGGTCATACGGCAGACAGGCGGGATCCTCTTTTCATGCAAAACATGTGCACTTGCAAAGCAAGGGCCTACCTCCATCTCGCCCTGCTGCAAGCATTCCTACGCACACTCCCACTTACCCCCAGCGCAATCAAGGCCTCCACAGACTCCAGCTGCCGTGCCTGTACGGCGGCGTGAAGGGGCGTGAGGCCGCCCTCCACCTCCCTGGGGGAAAAAGAATCAAACAAGGGGGAGGACAAAACACACACGCAGATGGACACGTCGACGGCCACAACACAACAACACAGCACGATACCGCTATCGGGTACACCATGCAACACGGCACGGAACAGTACGGCACAAATGCGGGTATGCCAAGTCGCCACATCCACGCCGCTGCAGGTAAATAGGATACATGCAGGTCAGGTAATATCGCTACGCACATCATCACACGTCCTATGGTAGCCATCACGGTAGGGGGACCTCACACGGGAAGATTGGTGACCGCAGAACCGGGGCGGGTGACATCCAGAACAATGAACCGCACCGCTGCGTGCTGCACTGCGTTCTGTGTGTTTCCACCATCCCACCACCACCACAACCTCCACCACCACCACCACCACCACCACCACCACCCACAACAACACGACGCCACTAGGTAAGCGGAGCCCTACCGACCCCCAACCTGCCTGGCTTCCAGGGGCGCGCCCGCCGCCACCAGCAGCCGTACACACTCCACCTGCCCTGCTGCCGCCGCCAGATGAAGAGCCGTCAGGCCCCGCTGCCCCGCCGCCGCCACTCCGGCACCAGCTCGGCACACAGCCGCCACCACCTGCAGCCGACACGTCGCGACACAACAGAACACGGGGAGGATTGGGGTCACAGAGGTGGTGGTGGTGGGGGGGGGGGAAGACGAACCACAAACGAGTGGGGGGGGTTAGGAGGTTCCCCATCGGGGCCCCCAACGGGCCTAAGAAGAGCCTAAGAAGACAGACAGGACGGACATGGATATGTTCGATAGCGGCCGCAGTTCCGCACAAGGTAGGAGCACCTATCTTCCGCCCCCAAGCCGCGGCAGTACCAGGGCATGCTGCCCTGTAGGTGGGTGCCACCGCCCAGAAGGCCACTACCTGCCTGACGAAGACGATGATGGCGATAATAATGAGCACACTGTTCAACACAGCTCAGCGACATGTGGAATGCAGAGGGGGCGCAGGCCCGAAGAAGGCCCCTCACCTCTCAACCAACAAACCAAAGGTCCCCGAATATCACACATGGCACATAACACCGCGCCAATCCTCACCACCACCATTACCAACCCCCACCACCAAGCAGCCCAAACAACCTACATCCACTACCCCCAACACACACGGACACACACACAACACACACACATGCACACACACACGTACACAACACACACACACACATACATACACGCGCGAGCATACCTCACCTCCACGTTCCCCGCCCGCACGGCTGCATGAGCCGCACCCTCCCCCGACGAGTCCACCTCACACCCGACCCCCTCAGACTTTGGCGCCGTGGGAGAACCCCCCGCTATATCTCCCCCGCTTCCTCCTCCTCCTCCTAAACCTCCACCGCCGGCGCCGCTGTCCGGGACTCCAGCTGCCCTTGGCTCGGCCGCTCTCGCCTCTGCCGCAGCCGCCGTCAGCAGCAGCCGCACGACCTCCACGTAATCATACCCCTCCGGGCCCTCCTCCCGGTCCAGCCAGCGACAGCCACTCGCCTCCGCCGCCACCAGCAGAGGTGTGAGACCCCCGCTGTTGCGAGCCCCCACCTGGAACCGAAACCAAATAGGAAGTGGGAAGTGGATGAGGAGGAAGAAATCAGGTGTGGGAGTGCATGCGAGGGCGTGGCGGGGTTGGGGAGGGGGTGTATACAGTGTGCCGCGACGTGGCGGGGTTGGGGAGGGGGTGTGGGCGGTTCAGGAGGAGCGGGCCCCCCCCATGGCGCGCACATGAGACATAAAAACTACAGCCGCTGTGCCAACGAACTTCCCGAACGCGGAAGGGTCCCTTTTTCCTCTCCCCAGGCCCTAGCTAACCCGTCCTCCACCTCCTCCTCAACCATCAACCTTTTTCATCTCCCCCAGGGACGCGGAACTCCCGACATCTTCCCCCCCAACACACACACACGCAGACAGACAGACAGACAAATACGCCGGGGCGTCACATAGATCTAATCCACACATGGCGCCCTGCGCCCTGCCCGGCCAGCACACCTTCGCCCCGGCGTCCAGAAGGGCCTGCGGGTACGAGTGCGGGTATCGCGGGAAAAGCAGCACCGCGCGGACGTCACGTGGGGGAGAGGGGCGTGAGGACGCGTGGGATGACGGAGACAAGCGAGGAACGAAGTGATGGGGAGACGGATGAAACGAGGAGGAGGAGGAGGAGGAGGAGGGGGAGGAGGATAGCGGCCAGACGTTCTCTCTTGACCCTACGTGCGCTGAAGGGAAAAAGAGCGCATACACGGTTTATTTGGTCCTGTGGATACAACTAAGCGTTCCTGTGCGGCACCAAAGGCCGTAATGTGTACGGCGTACGACACGCACCTGTACGACGCGGACGTAGCCGTAGTGTGCGGCGCAGTGCAGCGGAGTGCTGCCGTCAAAGTCCTCTGCCGACACGTCTGCACCACCCGCCAGCAGCTCCGAAACCACCTGGAACAATTACACGAACACAGCCGCCCAATATACACATACACGCATGCACGTGGAGAAGGAGCTTGAGGAAATGTCACCAACCGTCACCAACTGTTTGCATTGGCGGTGTCCCAGATACACACACATACACACACATCACTGGGGATTCAGCCCTGAAGCATACCGAGGCTCCGTGAAGGGGGCCGTTGCGTCGGGGCGTGTGTCAGCCATGTAACGACAAGGACCTATGCGACCGGCGCTTCCGTGGCCACAGGCTAGCCGCCTATCCTTTCCCCCCGGTCTCCTCCTCACGCCGTGAAGCCACCCATCCAACTGCGCACCTCGATGTGCCCCTCCTCTGCTGCCAGGTGCAACGCGGTGCGCTCGTCTTCGGGTCGCTGGCGCGCAGGGTTAGAGCCGGCCGCCAGCAGGGCGCGGACTACGGAGGTGTGGCCCGCCGCAGCCGCCAGATGGAGCGCTACACGGCCGTCGCCGTCACGAGCGTCAACCGGAGCACCAGCCGCAAGTGCGGCTTGAAGCTTCGCGAGGTCGCCTTCAAGGCAGGAAGAGCGTGAAGATGGGAGGAGAGCAATTAGGATTTGGCAGGCCCAGCGCCGCGCGAGAGCTAATGCATGAGAGGTAATATATTTTTATTGGTTTACAAAATAAAAGTCAACTAACCAACCTTCCTCCGCAGCTGCGAGGAGCTGCTTCTTGGCGGAAGCAGCCATGGAGTTTAAATTTTGCTGGCGAAGGTAGATCAGGGAAACACCGTGTCGAACTGAATAATAAGGGTTTTTGATGAGCCACATGCGAGAATTTGATAGTCCGCAACGTCGATACACCAAACGCCGCTTCCTAACTGTCAACTCCTTAGAACATTCTGTTGCTCCGTCAACGTCTCACAACATCCACGTTATTCAACTTTTTTCTTTGCTTCAATCTAACGTAAAATATATGTTGCAAGCAACGCTGTGCTCATGCAGTTAACGTAGGGAACTGTCAATACCAAACTATACCTCAATGCCGAATTGTATCAGCTTGATCTGTATCCGCGAATAAGTTGAATGGACGAGCACAATGTGCACCACTTCTGGGGCATCAGCCCCGCACTTGATCTGGGAAGCCTCTTGCCAAAGACCGATGATGCAGCCGCGGCGCTACCTGTGGATCAGCCCATCCGCATGCTGCAGGTGCTCATTCCCTAACCCGGTATTTCGTCTCTTCTTGTAGAGTCTTCCCCCGCACCCTGCCCTTTTGCAAATTCATTTGATTCAAGCAACCCCCACATAGCATCCCCACCCCGACTCCGACCTCCTTGCTCCGATGGCCCCAACCAGCGCCACAGGATGACGCATCACCCTATCACCGATCCTCCAAGTACCCACGCGAAACCTCCACCCCGGCCCCTCTAACGCTTCCGCGCCTCCATCCTCCCAGCAACCCCCACCACACCGATGTCCCCGCGCTTCTGCATCTGCTCCACAGGTTGCACCGTACGACGCTCGTCATACGCTGACCACCATATGCCGTGCGACGCGTCATACGCTGCTACAGCAGCAACAGCAGCCGGTATGCGAGAGGGAGGGAGATAGGGTCATATGTCCTCCTTTACGAGGAGTCCTGGTGGTAGCGGGGAGCACCACCAGGGCCATCGAGAAGTGCGGCAGGCTGACGTGGGAGAGGGGTAGAATTGGGGTAGTCACGCCGCGTAGAGCTGTTCAGCCAGGCCAGGTCAGCACCCACGGGGCTCCCCCCTCACACCGCGTGCCGTTTCTCCCCTGCCCTTTCTCCTCTATCTCCCCCCTACGGCTTTCCCCCGGGGACCTTGAGCCGCTGGCGCAGCAGCGCACCTCACCACACCTGACCAGCTGCGGACCACCCAAACACGACGCCACACTCGAACCCAAAACCCGGGAGGACGCTACCCATCCCCCGAGCCCCGGCTGACAACACCTCAGCTTATTAACTAACGCACAATCTTAACTGACATACACACTACATACTAACTAACTGACATACACACATACACACACAGCTCACACACAGCTCACACAACACACACACACACACACTGCCGCTGCGTTCTTGCCCCATTCCTTTCCCCCTTCCCCTCCCCCTCCCTCCGGCCCCCTGCCCCCGGGTTAGGTTCACCTGGTGGTGTGGGAGGACTCCCCCGAGGGCTTGGCTCGTCACGTGCTGCTGCTGGCAGTGCTGCTGGACGGGTCGCTGCTTCCCCGCGACAGGGCGCAGATGCTGCTGGAGCTGCACGGGAATGCGGTGATGAGGGAGAGGGCGGCGGCGTACCTGGGTGGGTGCATGGAAGTGGCGTCGTGCGAATATGATGGCAATATCCCCTTTTTCTCTCTCTTTTTCTTTCTGTTTCTCTTTCTCTCTTTCTCTCTCTCTCTCCCCTCATACCCCCCCCCTTCTGATTCAACCCCTTAACCCCGCCCCTTCCCGTCCAACCCCTACCCTCCCCCCAACCCCCTTCCCGGGTGTCTCAGACGATAAGGCCCGGCAGCTGGAGGCTCTGGTGGTGCAGCTGAGCAGCGGAGGGGCAGCAGGCGGGGGCGGAGCGGGGGTGTGCGGTGTGCGAGAGGAGGGGGAGGAGGGGGATCACCGGGGTATACGGACGTTGGCTCGCGTTCTGGATCTCTCACTGCTGAAGTTCCAGGTGGGTGTCAGGGGCAGTGGGTGAGGTGGAGGTGG